GACGAGTCCCTCACTGCGCACAGTGAGCCTCGCCTGAGCTGGCAGGGTCATTTCCCCCGCGTCCCTCTGCCGGGGCGCTAAGTGACACGGCCATCGCCTGCGCCGCTATCTCAGCATCTCAAAAACTCAATTTCCGGCAGGGGCTTTGCAGTGCAGTTCTCTGATGAGCGTCTGATGGAGGACGCAATACCCCAGTCCTGACAGGCAGGCGCAGATAGCAGAAACGATCAAAGGAGCAGAGGCAGCAGGTGAACGTGCCGCCTGCCAGCGCCCCCGCCCCCCTCCGTGGTCTTAGGAAACCAGCGTTGGATTTCTCCAGGTGTTGCTTCAGATCCATACAATTACCATTGCCCTGCCTTCCCGGGAGCCGCTGGTGTGAGCAGGTGAACCAGGGGAGGAGGAGGGATGCCGGCGGTACTCCCCTTGATGTCCAGATTCTTTGACACCTGGACGTAGAATTTCAGGGAAAACACACAGGGGCTGGTGGTCGCCTCTGGCTCCAGGGTCTGCTGGATCTGAGCCTGCCTGTGCGTGGGATGAGGTGGGTGATCTCTGTGAGGCTGCAGCCTGTGAGGCCGCAGATGGGGCTGGGCACACCCTAGGGGGCGCCACCTGGTTGGGTGTCCCTGGCTGGTTGTTGGTGGTCCCTGGACATGGTGCAAAGTCAGTTTCCAGGATGAGGAAGTGACTCCTTTCAATCCTGCTCGAGTTGTTCTGTCTGTAAAAGGGGCCTCGTTTTACTGTCAGATGTTCAGCACTGCTACTCAATGATCTCTTCATTTAGCAACAGAAAACCCAACTGGAGGCTCGGACTTCGTTCCAGGCAGCGGCTGGGGCCTGAGATCCCGGCTTTCATTCTTTCCTAAAAACTGTGTTGTGGGATTATTTAAACCAAGTTTTTTTTTTAAGATTTATTTTATTAATTTGAAAGAGTTACAGAAAGAGGTAGAGACAGAGAGAGAGAGAGAGGTCTTCCATCCGCTGGTTCACTCCCCAAGTGGCCGCAATGGCCAGAGCTGCACCGATCTGAAGCCAGGAGCCAGGAGCTTCCTCTAGGTCTCCCACACGGGTGCAGGGGCCAAGCACTTGGGCCATCTTCTACTGCTTTCCAAGGCCATAGCAGAGAGCTGGATCAGAAGAAGAGCAGCTGGGACTAGAACCAGTGCCCAAATGGGAGCCAGCGCTTCAGGCCAGGGCGTTAACCCACTGTGCCGTCCTCACGCGTCTGACGCACAGCGACTGTGCATGTAGGAGGCCAGGTGAGCCAAAGCGCGCTCCTGCTCCCGTGCCAAGTAAATGTGCGTGCAGATAAATGCAAACTCACGGCTGTGTGAGAAGCGGTGTGGTGCCGTGAGGATGCGTGAGGGGCACTGGGCCTACCACAGGGAGCTGGGGGGTGCCCGAGAGGCGGCAGGATGGGGCTGGGAATGGAATGGGAACTAACTGGGCAAATGTGACGTTGAAAGCCAGGAGTGGCCGGCGCCACGGCTCACTAGGCTAATCCTCCACCTAGCGGCGCCAGCACACCGGGTTCTAGTCCCGGTTGGGGCGCTGGATTCTGTCCCGGTTGCCCCTCTTCCAGGCCAGCTCTCTGCTGTGGCCAGGGAGTGCAGTGGAGGATGGCCCAAGTCCTTGGGCCCTGCACGCCATGGGAGACCAGGAGAAGCACCTGGCTCCTGCCTTCGGATCAGCGCGGTGCGCCGGCCGCAGCGCGCCAGCCGTGGCGGCCATTGGAGGGTGAACCAACGGCAAAAGGAAGACCTTTCTCTCTGTCTCTCTCTCTCACTGTCCACTCTGCCTGTCAAAAAAAAAAAAAGCCAGGAGCAGGCAACCACACTTGAGGCTTCATTATGAGCCGACACCTGCTAAGCCCTTTGTAAGCATCGTCTCACCTGGCGACAGGTGGGAGAGAGAGGTGGGCCTTCTGGTACCCGACAGCCAGGCCTGCATTCCAATCACGTTGCTCCGAGGCAGGAGGTCCTGTGCACCCTTCCCTGGGCCTCACTGTTCTCTGTAAGAACTCGGCCTGGTGAATTTCCCTGGCTCCACCACCGGCAGGAGGAGGGGCGCGTCCATGCAGGAGAGTGAAGAGTGGCGGAAGGCTTGTTGCTAAAAGCTGTTTCTGCGGGGACGCGCCCTGGACGGGGATGCAGTGAGCCTGGCACCCGTGCCCGCTCCCCCTGCTTGGCCTCGGACAACCCCTTCCCCAGACGAGTCTCTCAGCCTCCACACTCGAGGTTTCCGATGCGCTTTCTTGGACAGGGATGAGTAACTCAAAGAAAAGCCTTAGGTGTGGCCGTTAGCCCCTTGGCTTCTACAAAACACGCCCAGTGGCTTCAGCCAGCAGGGACCTCCGTTTGAACGCAGAGGACGAGGACTCTCCGTGGAAGGGTGTGCCCCGCAGGGTCTTCTGAGCACGTGCAACCTGGCTCTGCAGTGAGCGTGCCAAGGTGGAAGCACCGACTGTGCTTAGAGAGAGGCGGCCTCAGAGTGCCCGGGCTGCCCTGGTGACCCCTGCGTGAGGCACTGGGGCTGAGAATGGGGAGAAAGTCGCTTCCGTGAGAACCCTTGTCGCTCCCCCTCTTCGTGGAGGAGCAACACTAAACCCTGCCTAGGCTTCATATCCGAGTCACGGCACCATTATGTCGCTCCCCCTCTTCGTGGAGGAACGACACAGGACCCTGCGCTGTTCTTTCGTCTGCTCGGCCCTCCCCGGGTTTGCTGCTGGTTCTTCCCGGGTTGGCTGCCGTCCCTTCCACCTCCGTGGAAGGGCGGTTCCCCCTGGCCACTTTCCCCACTTCCGCAGGGGAGCGGCACACCGCCGGCCGGCTCTCTCGGGGGCTGCACAGGTATTCCCCTTAGATGTTCCCGGTGCATGCCATCTCTCTCCTCCTTTATAGTCCTCCTCTGCCAATCCCAACTCGGCTGCCCACACGCCGAGTACACTGCTCTCCTCCAATCAGGAGCAAGTCCTACAGTTTATTGGCTGAACTGGAGGCAGCTGTGTAGAAGCTGTTTTCTTCTCTCCCAGCGCCATATTGTGGGAGAGCAGATGCATAGAATAAGTCTTAATTCCAGTAACTTAGTCTAGTCCGGGTTGCTCCCCACAACCCTCTTGACCACCCGCGCCGTCTGGCCACGGCACTGCAGCAGCTTGGGTCTGTGTGCCAGTGGCCCTGCCAGCAGCAGGGTTGCAGAACCTTGCAGAGGAGTGGGGAGCGTGGGGCCTTGCACGCACTGGGAGCAGAGGAGGGGCAGGGAGGCAGGCCGGGAAGAGGCACAGAGACAGCAGCTCCCGGCTTCTCTCAATGTGGGAGTCAAGGCTCGACTGGGTTGATGGAGGGATCAAAGGGTGCATCACAGAGCCCACGACACCTCGCCAGAGCGAGGAGGTGGGCCTCTTGGGTCTGCAGTTAGCAGTGGGGGTACCCGGAGTTCTTGGGTTCTGGGTGTCGGGCTTGTCCTCAGCGGTGGCCCCAGCCACGTCGACCAGGGCTCGTGGGGGTCTTAGGGACATCGCACGGCAAGGAACCTGCTGGCTCTGCTGCTGTTGCTGTCCGCAGTGGATGGAGACAGCAGGCGAGGGGTGCCAGCTGCTCTCCCGCCTCCGTGCGGAACCCGGCGGCCCCAGCGTGCCTTACCTGAGTGTCAGAGGGTTTGACAGCAGGGCTCAAGCTCAGAGGCCCTGGGCTGGAAGCCTCACTGAGTGACGATTGAGCCACGTGGACCGAGTGCGACCCCCCCCCCCCTGGCCTTGGCCTTTCTCCTGTGACGATGGGGACAGAGCCCAGGGGTCGCTGTTTCCTCGCGTGCTTAGAGAGCAGCTGGGAACCCAGGGACTGTCCATGTCGAGGCTCAAGGCCAAACTCAACCCCTGAGCAGGCTGGGGTGAGTCCGTGGGGGAGCGCCTGTGGGGTCGGGGCCGAGGCCCAGAGGGGAGAAGGCAGGAAGCCTGGCCACCCAGTGAGCTGAACCCCAGCCGGGGCTGCAAGCCACCCTGTGGCCTTGCGACAGGGCGCCAGTCCCCTCTGCCTTCGCCCCAGCACCCCTCGACGCAGAAGGTGCGACACGCCTGGGCGGCTGCACACACACAGAAACCCGGATGGAGCCCCCGGGGCGCTCTGGGTAGCGGACCAGCGCAGGGAGACCTCTGTGTGTGCCCCTCTCCCTGTCCCTCTGCCTATCAAACGAACAAGAAAAGATTCTGGACTTTTAACGATCGATCGATTGATTGGAAAGGCAGATTGGTACCTCCCATGTGCTGGTTCACTCTCCAACGCCTTCCAAGCCAACAAGAAATAAGGTTCTGAGCCTTTAACATGTTGATTGGTTGACTGATTGATTGGAAACTCAGATCTCCCAACATTTGGGTCCACTCTCCAGGTGGGGAGGCGCTAGGATTCGCACCCGGCCTCTCCGGATCACAGGGACCCAGGCGCTCTTCAGCCTCCACAGGCGCCCCCGCGGCCTTCCCAGGTGCTCCCGCGGGGCGCAGGAGCAAAGCGGAGCCGCCCCGACGGCCCCGCAGGGCGCAGAGCCCCCGCGCGCGATCGCTCCGCAGCGGCCGTCAGTAACCCTGTCCTGGTCTCCCGGACCGGAATGTATAGCGATTGTAATGAGCAAATTCATGCAAATGCTTTAGTTTCGAGCCAAAGAAGCTTCGCTTTTATAGGATCCGTGTTGAGAGTGATTGCCACTTAGGGGATTGAGATACGGAGACAGGCGGAAGCTCAATTAGCGATATAAGAAGGGGTAAAGGGAATTTTTTAGTTTTCA